GTAGAGAATTTTTTTACAGAAAAAAAAAATCAGAAATTGGATTTAAGTTAGCCTATAATCTCTGATAGGAAGATGGGACTCTCTAAGGAGAGCTGATGACATTGCATGTTATAAGAAAGAAAGACAGAAAAAAACCCAAGGAAAAGAGTTCCTACCATAAAAAGGAAAAATTATGAATCTTTGCCAAACTGGATCAGAAATTCTTCAGAGCCATGAATGAGGAGGGGTTAAAAAAAAAGACTTAGATAGCAAACTATTTCTCCTTACAATTTCATGCATCAATCACTTTCTCAAAAGCAATGGATAAAAACAGTCATTTCTGTGAATAACTATAGAGGGAGTTAGCTCAATTCTCCTTTACCACACAATATGCATAGTCATTTATACCTGCATAAAATGTGTCCAAATCTGCGCTCAACATCAAGAATGCAACATCTCTGCTCATTTTAACAGCAGCATTATGTACATGCTTTCAACAAAAAGTGAGGCAAGAACTAACCAGAGTTGTGCCATGAAAGTTTCACTTCCAGTAGCCAAATGTCATGCAGACATGACTTAATTTCACTGAAATGACAACTGTGTTGATTTACACTGTGACCATCTCTGCAGCTGAAATCTTTTTGTTGTAAATGAAAATAGCTAAACGTACAGTCAGCTACTGATACTGGCCGATCTGTCTAAACGGCTTGATGTTTTCTGCAGTATCTCCACATCCTCTCTAATCAATCATCTTTTCTCCTTTGTTGTCTCTGAGGCTGGAGCTTAGCTGGCATTTTCCTGAGAGGGAAAAATTAGGATGAGCTGTGCCCAACTGAGGCATCTCCCTCAAGTAGCTTATTGTTCTAATGGACCATGGATCACAAGGCCTCGTCAAGATATTTGCTGGTAAAAATGGGATGTGCTCTGAAGACCTCCCAGGGAGGCCGCCTAGAGAAAATTCCTCCACAGAGTGTTCCCAAACAAAAGAAAACAAATTCTTTCTCTGCAGAATTTAACTGATTTATGAATATGTCTGTGAATTTTTAATGTCATTAGAGATTTCAAATGAGAGAAGTCATTCAATAAATCAAGATAACAAAAGTGACTCAAATAGGAACACTTTGGCTCAAAAATATTCTTTTAAGTCTTAAATTTTTGTCTTTCACTTCTGCTATCATTATATTTTATTCACCCAAAACAAAATACAGTCCGTTTGGATGATGTCTAAACTGTAATATTTAAAATCAGCATGACACTTCTCTGTCAGAACTCCTATAATAAAATACACTATCTGTCTCCTTCAGCAGAGCGCAGAAGCCAACATAAAGGTGCTGCAAGAACTAATTTTCTAGGCTGGCTGGCATCTTGGAGCTGACTGTCTCTTTGAGAAAATATTCTCCTTCTCTAGCATCCTAATGCCCATTACCAGGTAGATCAGGCATAATCCAGTAAGGAATATTGTTCCACCAATCCCATCAATAAGCAAAACTGTGTCAATTAGCAAAAAAAAAAAAAAAAAAAAAAAAAAAAAAAAAAAAAAAAAAAAAAAAAAAAAAAAAAAAAAAAAAAAGGAAAAGTGCCCAACAGAATGTCATCAAACTCTTTGAAAACTTATCTTCCAGTCTGCAGTTTGCTCCTACTTTCACTGAGGGATATGTTGCATGTTCAGCCTGGTACCACATGAAGCCCAGGTAGATCAAAATATTCCTCCTAGCAGGGAGCAGAACTGATAAAAAACCCTCCATCCTAAGTTCCTCCCAATTATCCCATACGGCTTACACAGGACATAGGTGGCACGTGGACCTTATGAGCAGTGATGGATTGCATTTCTGAAGCAGCACACAAAGGGCAAGGGTTTGTCGCGTCAAAGTCTCCATGGCTACTTTTTACTGAGGTTGTTTTGTTCCCTGCTGGTTTCTCCAAGGAAACACGGCCGCTGTCATCACTGCCTACTTGCTTGCCTGGTGTCCGCCGCCTCCCCACTAGCAACTCTGAACCTGCCAGCCAATTTCTATCAAACTCTCAAGCAGGAATATCAGAGATACCAAGTTACCAAGTTTTGAGATAATCAGGGAGTGGATTTTGTCAGTTTGTGCTCACTCGCTCGCTCTTCTTGCTGTCTCTCTCACTTTCTTACGCTTGCAATTAGTAAAACAGTCAGTCAACGTGCTTAATAGGACAAGTCAGCAAATGCAGATACCTGTAAATTAAGTGTCAGCCTTCCTGTTGATTTGGCAAGCAAACAGGCAGGAGACTGCTAGCTGGGGGTAACATGATTTAAATCAGGAAAGGGCACAGCAGGACCACTCGACAGCAAAAAGTAGCAGTCCAGAAAGAACAAGCAAAGACTAAACGTGGAGATACCACATTAACCTACCGCATCTCTTGTGGGAGCTGCGCATGCTGCAACACATGTATATTCCCACAACAGGGAGCTGCAACTGTATGGGCACTCTGCAGGAATAGCTGCATTGACCTGTGATGGATGAGGGCTTTACAGTGCTGGCCTCAGTGTATGTCCTGCTTCTCATTCCCAAGTACTGGAAAATAACTGCCAGTGCCCCGTGCCTGCTAGCCACTGTGCCTCCATGGGTGTATAACACAATGAGCATGTATTTTGGTGATAAAGGTAGCTGATTTTTTCGTATAAGCTGTATCAAAAAGATAATGGACCTGGTTGTTTCAAGCAAATATTCCACTGTACACCAAGAAACCTGCAGTGATGCTGTATACTGACACTGGGTGATCCATACAATAATGGACTCTGAGTAATTCACCTTGTACTTTAATTAAAACCCTTGAAAGTATTTATATAGAAAGTGTACCCCAAAATACTTTGCAGAATTACTTCCTTTTCTCTTCTACACTTATTTACCATTCTCCGTATCTGGCATTTCAGTTCCTTACAAATCCAAAAATGCTATAGGGAATCTTTTTGCTGATGATCATTTTGGTATTTCATTTCACTCATGACTGTACTGCAGGTACAAACACGTACGGCCTTATAGTCCTCTCAGTTTCCCTTTGGAGGAGTTAAACAGTGGCTCCTTGCACAAAAGTTAGGAATTGTTTGCACCACCCACACTGGCATCCTCTCTAAACACATATTTCTTTTATTACGTGAAAACTGCATAAGAAGGATAGACTGGCTATAATGAGACAAGGAAATCTAGTCTACAAGAACAGCAAGGCTCCAGCACATTTCAAAGACAGGTGGAAATTCTGATCCTACAGTATTCAGTGGCTCTAAAAATATCCTTCACTGAGTGAAACTGCAGAGCTTCCTTTCTCTCAGATTAAAGAAAAGGTTTTGAGTTGCTCAGGTAAAAAGAACTATAGCAATGCCTTCCCAATCAGAGATAAATATCAGTCGCTTCTATCTCCTTCATTGTCAGCTAAGTAATGACTCATTTTCTACATTGTTCTCACTATGGGGAGGACAACAGGAGAGTAAACCTTATCCACAGGCTCCCCTTACACAACTCAATCAAAGGCAGACACTGTGAAACACAGCTAACGCATTCACAAATTAAAAGCAGAGAAGGGGGCAGCAGTGACAGTACCCAATGGGTGTGGGAACTCTCCACCCGCTTGGAAAAGGTAGGCAGTACCTTTGCTGGTCAGTTTAGTGTCTGGAGACTAGTTCTTTAAAGGAAGGTGATTTTCCTCTTTTTCTAACGTACAACTTCTCCCAAGATGGGGAGAGTAACCTTTTCCTGCAATCCACTCTCCACAATAGCCAGGAAAGCAAAAGAACAACATATAGCAAAGATATGCTGCTCTCTCAACATAAACTAGGCTGGGTGACTCTCGCCATGACACAGCTCAGCTTGCAGAAATAAAAAACTTATCTGCTGTGCTGGGTGAGAGGGACACAATGTGGGCTTCCATGCTTGGAGAACTTAAGAGAAGACATTTGTTGGAGACTGCTGTCAGAAAGGATGTTTCATGGATGTAAAACGTTGCTACCAATGAAACAGAGGTCCAGAAGTGCACAGGAGCAGCACTTCGGGCTCTTGAACAAATGAGGAGGTTTAGACTGAAATTCAAGGGTTATAGACCAAAGCAAATCTCTCCACTGCATAAGAACAAAGCAGTATATATTCAGGAGATCCTTGAGAAGTTACTCTCCTGATAAGGTCGCTACCTAGCTTTGGGTGCCTTCGGCCCCTCTCATTCTGCTTCAGCTCCTTGTCCAGAGAACTGTGCTATGGGCAGGGGCTCCTCCTAACCATGAAGGGAAGAGCTCTTGCAGATATATCTGAACCCTGCATGTTTTGCAATTGAAATATGCTCTGATGTCATGTCACCTGCTAAACTGCAGCCATCCGTTTCAGGTTTTCCACTGTTTTACCTCATTTCAACACTTTACACAAGTACTTGGTATTACACAGATTTTAGTCATTTTGTGTGTGTGCTGCTGTGATTCTGCTGACCTATTGCACCATACCCCTTGTTTATAACACATACCCTGCGTAAAGTGAATTTGTGATCCATTTCAGAGATTCACAGTGCACTGACCACAATGCTCAATCCTGTCCTGCAACAGTATGAGGGTTTAACACCATGACTGCTAGCCCTTGCTTATGCTGCTAAAATTTGTTCTCTCTTGCACAACAAACCATTTAAAAAAGCATGATCATTATTGAGCCACTGCTTAACTATACTTTATATACCACTAATCTGAATATGTTTTGCTGGCAAGAAAATGAGTTATGATTATTTATATGCCAACATCCATTTGTTTTCATTTAGAACAGCAAGCAATTATTCAGACAGCCAATAGTGAGAGCAAGGAAATTTCCACACCAATAGTTAGTATTTCTACCTGAAAAGAAATACAAGTAATTTGGATAATGCATTATGTGTCCACTGAAGTAACGCTCCTGGTTCCTGGCTTTCAATGAGGATTTGCAATTAAATAACTTCTTCACAGGCAGGTATTACAAGGAAAAAAAATACCCAATAAACAAGGCAGGAGCACATTCATTTATTTTGGGGATACTCACAGCAGTCACTCAGGAAATGAGGCTTCATCCTGGAAGGTGCTGGGTGCCCTTGCTGAGAACTTCAGGAGTCAGCCCTGAAAGAGAGAAGTACCTGAAAGTGACCTTTGAAGACTGAAATGTGAGTGTTGTGACTACCTAATGTGTCTTTCCCTTCCCTTGCCAAGGGCCAGGATGGGCTGCTCCCCGTCTCAGGAGCTGGCCTACGTGCTTTGGTGGGACAGCTATGTAGCCTGTGAACCAAGACTGCTGGAAATTATTATAAAGGCAAAATTGCCTTTTTATCTATTCATGCAGTTGAAATATTTGTTCCTCAAGTTTTTTCCAAAGGACAATTCACTTCTATGTGGACAGCTAACCCAGGCCTCATAGGCAGTACCGAAAGGAATCTTCTGAAATTGAATAGAGTTGTGAAATGAAATTTCATGCAGTCCTGCTGTACAGGGTTGCAGGATGGATCACATAATGTACCTATATCCAAAGAAATCTATGTAAGGCTATATTTAGAAGAAGAAAAATAGGACTTCACTTGCCTTTTGGAAATTTGAGATTTTCTTGATCAGCATATCAATGAAAGACAATCAAATCAAATTCATCAAATACTTCAAAAACACTTCAAAAATAACTTATTTTTTTCAAAATTTTTCTTATTTAGGTAACAGTTTCTTCTGGAAAATGCAAATAATAATAGTAGTTATAATATTAATAATAATAGACATTCATTAAACTTTTGAAAAACACACATGTAAAATTGCATTTTCACTCTGCATATATCATTAACAACAGCTAAGGCCACGTACGAACAGGAGACTCGTTAGTAATGAAATATGATCAAAACCAAGATTTATTACAATGATGCGAAAAGTTGAGGAAGCCATCTTTTGTGTGTGCAAATTAAGGCCTGCCATTCTGCTAAACTGACAGCAGGACTGTACCAAGTAGCAGAAAGGCAGAGAGGCAGCACTCTGCACAGTGCTCATTCTTCTCCTCATTATAACATGGCCTGAGGCCTGGAGCAAAACTTTTTTTTCTTCTTTTTTCCACCCCCACCCCCACCCCCATACTGTAATGAGCTTGGTAGATTTGTTCTGTAATGAAAGTGCTTGAAATTGATTTGCCTGCTACTGTTATAAAAGTTGCAGATCAAAGACTTCAGCATCCACCCAAACTGGGGTTAAAAAGTCTTTTCAAAATGGGATTGAGTAAGAAATACAGCCTCCATCAGGCACATTGATCCCATCATGTTTATTGTGGCAAACTGTAAATCATTCACAAACTACCAGATGGTGCTGGATGAATTTGAGCATCATTATTTTGAGGAATATTCTGAGTTCTGATTGAATTTCAACCTCATTCCACAATGTTTTCACATTGCTCCTTCTATCACAGTCATGGGCACCCTCCCATGCTAATTTGTAAAATGAATTTTACTGAATACCATCTAATCTTATTGCCATAGTTACAACTAAGAAATCGAAGATTGCTACACTGAGCTGAAAATAGCTGAGTTGATTCAAGGAAGGGGGCTAATTCTTATGCAAATCTCAGTACTCAAATACAATCTCTTCTCCCAAGAACAATGGCAAGTTTGATCTCTGCAAGCACAGCCTTCTACTGCCTTCTTATTGTAGCTACAACCTGCAAAAAAGCACTGAATGAAATGCCTAATATGACATTTTAAGCACAACACTCGAGTCTAAGGTTTGGTACACAGGCTGTTTTTTGGCAGGGCAAAGGAATTAAGGCAGCAGCAGGGCTTATCCAGTTAAGCATCCAGGTTGTAAACACGAGGTTATAAGCACTGTGCGCCTGCCACATGGACATGGGTTGCAGAGGAACCCCCATCACCCTGGGCCCTCGGCACAATCCTGCAAAGAGCCATCAGTGAAGGCCAGGATGCAGTCGGGAATTCCAGAGCTGGAGTGGCAGCTCCTTTTTATGTCATTGCTTTGTGTTTATGCATGAACATCTTTTTTTCTGCATTATGGAAAAAGGATAGAGCAGTTGTATGTTACCCCAACTAACCCCTGATGGAAGAAGTTGAAGTTTCAGAGGGCAAGCAAAATTCGCCTGCATGGGGATAGTTCATGGGAACTTCTGTCAGAGATCACATGGCATGTAAGGAAAAATCTTCTCCCGTGCAAAAGAAAAGGTCCCTGGATGTCTGCATGGTCATTCCAATGATTCTTTCTCCTTTCTGAACACGTCACAGCTGCTTACAGGACAGACATGTCTCCTTACCCTACCACAGACCTCCCCCCAGCTCTGGAAGACATGGGCAGTGTGGTGCTCCCCCTTTCCCATCTCCTGTTCAAACAAAAGCAAATCCTCTACATGAGAGGAATAAATAATGAAAGGAAAGCAGGGGAAAAGAGGGAGGAGAGTTTAACTGAAAAGAAGTTTCAGAGAGGAAAATAACATCTGTCTTAGAAAAGAGGGAAGAAGTAGGAGGACTTGTTAAGACATTTTAAAGCAGATATGCAAAACCAAATAATAATATCACCTGGATGAAACCTGGATCCAGAGTTCTCAGACAAAAAAACGGAGAGAAAAATATCAAAGACTAAGTGGAAAAAGCAGACAAAATAAAGAAAAATGGTCTTAATATTGTTCTTATTGAGTTAGACTGAAATCCTTCAGCATTTTCTGCACACGACATTGTGCATACTTTCTGCCTGGAAGAAATTTCATTCTATTTGATGTAATAATATGAAATCTTAATGAAGTATTACAAGGGTAACTCTTTAACAAATTGCCAAGTCTTAATATTGATGATATTGAATACGATGAAGAGCCATGGTAGGTGATCATAGGCTCAGTCCTGCAGACAGTGAGATCTGAGGAACAAAGACCGTCCTAGAAGACATCACCTCACAGAACCAAACCCCTTATGTTAAAGTTGCTTTGGTCTTCTGCAGTACCGGCTGCCCTTTTATTCCATTTTATTCTACTCTTTTATTCCATTCTTTCTATTTTTGGTGAGGCCATTACCATGGTCTCACAAATATAGCAACTGAAAAAGAAGAAACATTTAAGTTGTTCATTGCAAGCTACTGTGATGCCATCCAAAATAGCAGGGTCTGCACAGCTTAAATCTTAACTTAAATCAGATCTTTGAACATGAAAGAGTTCAAAACAGGAGCAGAAATGTCCGAGAACCACCTTGCTACCATTTTCTGCAACATGAAACACGAGGCCACCCCCAGGCCTGGCACTGCAAACAGTAACTACGAGTAGAGAGATGAGCTGCATTTGGGGCTAGCTGCTCCACATGTGCTCACAGTGCACAAGGACAGAGCCTAACCAAATGTTGACCTCAGATCCCCAGATCTGAGTTAAGCTATTGCCGTGAAAAGGACTTTAAGTACCTTTCGTTAGGAAGCTTTTGCTCATGCAAAGTGTCATCAAAGTGTTATGAGCTTCTGACTGGGCAATTGATAAAGATGGGGAGAGCAAATCCTCCTTCTCAAGAACATTTTCTGGAATGTAAACTGGTGTACCTCTTACTTTAGCTGCTCTGAGGTGACTGTGTTCCAAACCAGGGCAGGGATTACCTGTGCCCATGCAGTACTCCCACGGCGGCTTCCCTAGGCCAGTGTCAGCTCTGGCTGTTTCCCATTTGCTCAACAGCCGCAAGGCTTCAGCAAGAGGTTGGATTTTCCCTTGGGATAGTAGTGAAGACTGTGATGTAAAAAAAAAAAAAAGATGCTGGAAAAGTTGTGGCTTTTGATGTATGTACTAGATATTGACTCTGGCCACTTTAATCTAATGAGAAATTAGCTAAAAGCTTAAGTTCATGGATATTTACATTAACTCAAGCTAAATCAAACTATAACATCACAGTGAAAATATTTCTGGAGAAAGACATCAGCTGTACTTCTTTAGATTTGTACCAGCCAAAACAAAAGCTACAAAAGCAATGTTTTGATGGTTATCATAAGATTTATCAAGACCAACTGAATAGCACAATATAAACTGTAGAAAATCACAGCATTTAGAAATAGAAAAGGAAAGAAAGTTTTGGCAATGCTGGGGGTCTGTGCAGGCCACAGTTTAAATTATTTTGTAATCAGTTTTTAGTAATAGGCCACATTAGTGGTTTCCATTACATTACAATGGTCCAACTGGCATTAAAATGTGTGTGTGCTGGAAAAATAGAGAAGGGGGACTCTATTAATATATAGGGCAGGATGTAAAAAGTTTTTCTAACATCCTCCCTAATTTCTGTAATATGTGGTTGAAATTAAGATCCTTCTCTCTCTACTATTCTTTGGTGGAAAAAAATAAAACTAAGAATAATTTCTATTTTAATGTATTCTGTTCTCTAGATGTTGAATCGTTGCAATTCAAAAGAGGTATCTTGTAGTAGCACCTTGTATTTTGGCTTTTTTTTTTTTGATCCTATTAGTACTTACTCATCTGCTTAGTATCTTACAGACATCAGTTTCTTATGGAAGTACTCACATATTTGATAAATGAGCAACTGGGGAAATATTTGTAGACTCAGATTAAAGGTCTACTCAGATTAAAGGTCTACTCATAAATGACTTATTCTGGGGAAGCAGTTTCATTTAAGTGGCTTGTTTACCAAGCTACCTGTGGGTAGACTGTCATTTGGAGATGACTTTTCCATTTGGCATTTCCCAGCATCTCCTGAAAACACTAGGACATTATTCTAAACTAGGTGGAGTCAAAATAGTCTTACTGAAGTTTATCAGACTCCTTATATCTTCAAGAGAGATAATACGGTTCTCATCTACACTCATCAGGTCCGAGGGTTACCTGCATGGTACTGCCCAGGAAATGAGAATGAGCCATCAGCAGTTTAGGAACTAGATTGCTGGTTTCAGAGCCAAAATGCCTTGCTTGAAGACATGGGCATGCCGTGTTGCAGGAGAGTCTAGGCTGGCAGGACCTCTCCAGGTCAAGCCTGCTGCCGGAAGCATGGTCTGCATCCTAGTTACATGAAGCTGCTCAGAGCTTTGACTATTCCCACAAGATCTTTGGAAACTTCCATCCAGAAACTGCCATCCAGAGGGACCTGGATAGACTGGATGACTTGGCGGTGAGAAACCTC